TGATCTATAAAGGGAGGCGGTGTCCCTTCAAAGAAATTCTGAAAAAAAAAAAAAAAATTGATGGTACAAAAAATGTAGCTGGCAGCCTCTCTGCAAGTTAAGGGGGTGGTGAATGTAGGGGCGTGGCGAAAAGTTACTGACACGCCTCCTACCATTCGACACACCATGACAGGTGTATCAGTGTAGTTATTGTTAACTAACTTAAAATAGTTTTTGGTAATTTTATTGTGGTTTTGCTGAATCAATGTAAAAAAAATAATGAATGAATACATTTGATGAGACCTCGATGCAATCTGGTTTTAATAAAATGTTGACCATTTAAATTGTTCAGGTGCGAGAATGGAAAAAAGAGGGAGGGAAGAAACATATGTGCACAGGTCGTCCAGGATGGCTGACTGTTTCTCTCAGGGTGGGAAAATACAAGAAGACGAACAAGAACATCATGATTAACATGATGGACATTCTGGAGGTGGACACAAAACGGCAGGTGGCTGATGCCAGATATTATTTTTTGACAGTAAAATTGTTTTAATCTCATCTCCTCATTTAAAGTTAAAGGAATAGTTCACCCAAAAACGAACATTTGCTGAAAATGTACTCACACTCAGGCCATCCAAGATATAGATGGGTTTGTTTCTTCATAAGAACAGATTTGGAGAAATGTAGCATTACATCACTTGCTCACCAATGGATCCTCTGCAGTGAATGGGTGCCGTCAGAATGAGAGTCCAAACAGCTGATAAACATCACAGTAATCCACAAAACTCCTGTCCATCAATTAATGTCTTGTGAAGTGAAAAGCTGCATGTTTGTAATAAACAAATCCATCATTAAGTCCTTTTAACATCAAACTGTTTAAAATCCATAATAACGGTTCCTTTATTGAATTCTCTGTTGTCCTTAAAATACACTGACTTATTTGTTTAGAACCGTTTTGGACTGTTTTCATTTGTAAACGGTGCTTGATCTGTGCATGTTTCTTTCCTGGTTCAGATGAAATTACTTTTTTGAAACAATATTAAAGATAGAGAAAGCAATGGTTTGAAGTTAAAAACGTCTTAATGATGGATGTGTTTTGTACAAATACGCAGCTTTATGCTTAAACTTGATAGACTGGAGTCGTCTGGATTACTTGTGGATTATTGTGATGTTTTTATCAGCTGTTTGGCTCTCATTCTGACGGCACCCATTCACTGCAGAGGATCCATTGATGAACAAGTGATGTAATGCTACATTTCTCCAAATCTACATCTTGGATGGCCTGAGGGTGAGTAAATTTCATTTTTGGGTGAACCATTTGGAAAGACAGGGCTTTTCACTGAAATGTACTATTTTTATAAACAACAAATCAAACATATTCCAGGTGGTGCGTGTGGAACCCTTAGCTAACATGGGTCAGGTGACCGCTCTGCTCAACTCTATTGGCTGGACCCTGCCTGTGGTGCCTGAACTCGATGACCTCACAGTTGGTAGGTTTTATGAGAGAACCAAATAAACAAATGTTTAATTATTCCTGCATCATTCACTGGATGTTTTTTTATCCAAAACAACTTTGCATTTGAGGACTTGGCTCTGTAGTACCTTTTCTGTAAGATAGTAAATCTGAATATTATTTCAATTATTGTAAATTTGCTGGAAAAAGTATGTGCACCTTTGGACATACTATGAATTTATGCATAAATTAATAACACAGACACATAAAGGGTTCATGTATATATATTTTTTCCTGCTGTGTTGAGCCTAGTTATGCTTGTTTGTTACACCAAGTCTCAGATTACAGCAAATTCTTATTTATGTGACATCTAGATGCATTTGAATATTTTCTATTCAGCACACAGTAACACTTCTCTCCATTTAGATGAAGACTGCAAGTCATCTCTGACCTGTATAATCTCTCCCTTTCTTTCCACATGCTCCACAAGGGATTTGTTTAATGTCTCTGAGCACTTGCAGATATTCGCTTTCTTTAAATGGAGCATAACGTTCTCTCCTGATCAATATTATATGCCGTGTGTGGTGCATCAGAGGCTGCTTATAATTTGGTTACGGATGAGCATAGTCCCTGTTTCAACGAGGCAGATTAGATTAGGGCGGATACGGGTCCTATTGCTGAAAGTGTTTATAGATCCCAGAAAAGAGTGCTCATCTGCGGAGAAATGTTTTACACGGACTCTCCTTCAAATTCATTTGTAATTCTTTAGAGACACAGTACTTAGTAATAAGACATGGGAAAGGTGTGTTGTGTTTGTAAAGTGTTGAATGATATGAGATATTTCTGACCACATGTATTGATTCCTATATCTTCGATACTGTAAGCACCGTATGAAAGCGATTGTTTTATACAGTACCATTTCTAAAAGCAGTTTAGAGTCCTGTATCTATAATCAAAGGTCAGTTATTTGGACTTTTGACTCTTCCTTTTTATCTCTCAGTTGGCACTTTTCACAAATAGTGTTGACTTTGGTGTTCTATTACACTTTTTTTTTTTAAAGCTTGAGAAGCACAATGTTTGTAGGGAGAACTATTAAATATTTTAAGTTATTTAATGTAATGGTAACGTTAAAATAACCTATTGGTGTTAAAAATGTTACTTACAGCAGCTCCCAACTAAAAATAACACAACATAACACAGTGCATAGATTTAAAATAATCTTCACATAGTAATGCAATATGCTAATTTTGTTACAAATAGGTGTCTGGGCCACATGTACATGACATGATATTTTATAATGAAGAAAATGAAATTACATTTTAAGTGCGCTATAGGATATTTAACATGTGTAATAAACGTCAAAATTTGCCAAAATGTATATAGTGCACTTCGAATCTCGTTCCAGTCTTCGTTTTTGTACAAATTGTGTGGACTGCATTTATCACCTGTTACGTGCATTTTTGTCACTTAGCCAGTTTTGAGGTTTCATTCATATTTATTGATAGAAACATAAATCACAGAAATATATATATATATATATATATATATATATATATATAAATCACTATTATGATTTTTGTCATAATCATGCAGCCCTAAGATATATAGTTCAGGTTCAATATAATGTACAGTTTAATTCAAAAGGTCAATAAGATTTTTATTTTATTATTATTATAATTTTTTTATTAATACTGCGACAGTAAAGACTTTACATTGTTACAAAAAATTATATTTCAAACGAATGCTGTTCTGTAAAACGTTCTATGTCACAGCTGTTTTCAGCATTGATAATAATAAACGTTTCTTGAGCAGCGAATCAGCATATTAGAATGATTTCTGAAGGGTCATGTGACACTGAAGACTGGAGTAATGATGCTGAAAATTCAGCTTTGCTTCACAGAAATAAATTACATTTCAAATGTATTAAAATAGAAAACAGTTCATTTAAATTGAAATTCTAATTATTTTTTTTCCAAGTAAATGCAGCCTTGTTGAGTCTTCTTTCAAAAACATTAAAAAAACAACCTTTGTACAGACCTTTGAACATAGTGTAATATTAAATGTAATATTAAATATTAATGTATATCAATGTATATTATTAATGCATTTTTGGCCATTCATTGTGATAGAGGTCTTCCCCATCAAGAAACTGTCTCTCATGGTTGTCTCATGTTCTGTTCAGGTGGGCTGGTAATGGGAACAGGCATTGAGTCTTCATCTCACATCTTCGGCCTGTTTCAGCACATTTGTGTGGCTTTTGAGCTGGTGTTGGCTGATGGTAGTCTGGTCCGCTGCACTGAGGTGAGTCCATTATTACAGATGATATAAAACACACACACACACACACAGACAAGTTAAAACAAATGTTTAAAAAAAATTCTTGCTCACAGAAAGAAAACTCTGACCTGTTCTATGCCGTTCCCTGGTCCTGCGGTACTCTGGGGTTCCTGGTTGCGGCAGAGATCCGGATAATCCCAGCTCGAAAATGGGTGAAGCTTCGCTACGAGCCTGTGCGTGGCCTGGATGCTATCTGCAAGAAGTTTGCAGAGGAATCAGCCAATAAGGAGAACCAGTTTGTGGAAGGACTGCAGTACTCCCGGGACGAGGCTGTGATTATGACAGGCACCATGACAGATCATGCAGAGACTGAGAAGGTGATAATTAATGTTCTGTACTGCAAATCTGATTGCTTTTACTTAGTACTTTTTCTATGGCCCACTTGCTAGCTCTCTAAATATTGGCATCGGCCATTGAAGAGTCCAAATTTCCCAATGGACCTGGTGCATGTTCGTTTACAATTAAATACCATTGTATTATCATACCGTTTCATTTTCTCTGTTTTTCCTTTGTCTTTTAGACTAACTGTATAGGTTACTATTACAAGCCATGGTTTTTTCAGCATGTGGAGGGTTTCCTGAAGCAGAACCGAGTTGCAGTGGAGTACATTCCTCTCAGGCACTATTACCACAGACACACCCGCAGCATCTTCTGGGAATTACAAGTATTGCTCTGGAAAATTGCACTCAACAACAAAATTACCAAATGATCATCTTCTTCTTCTTTTTTAGGAAATACCAACAATATAATAATAACAGAAATAGGTTATTAAATCATTTAAACTCTGACAAACACAAAAAAAGAAATAAATAGCTAAAAATATTAGTAATGCCCACATATATTGCCGTCACTTTTCTAAGCCATTTTGGCAGAAATGTTTTGCCAACTGCTCTCACAGTGATTTTTAGTGGCTGTATGAAGTCAGTTTTTCTCAAGTTCACACAGTTGTCCGAACAGATTAACTGTAGGTGTAGAGAATCACAATAACTTAATTCACAACAGTTCTTCATTTTTAACAACATGCACTACCATTTAAAAATGTGGGGTTATGTGATTTTTTTTAAATGCTTTTTGAAAGTTTCTAATGCTCACCAAGGCTGTGTTTATTTGATCAAAAATACAATAAGCAAAGTAATTGTGAAATATATGTTCCAGTTTAAAATAACAGTTTTTTTATTTATTTAGTATATTTTATATGTAATGTATTTCTGTGATGGCAAAGCTGATACATATTTTTCAGGATTCTTCCGTCAGTAGAAAGTTCAAAAGAGCATAATTTATTGGAAACAGAAATCATTTGTAACATTAAAAAATGGCTTTTCTGTCACTTTTGATCAATTTAACACTTTTAAATGGCAATGTATCTTATTGTTTTATCATTTAAAACCTAACAAACTTGCTAAATGTTTTGCTTGAAAATATTAGCTTTATTTCTTTTAGATAGATGCCACTTGGTTTGATATTGTTTTATATAATGCATTGACATTTATTAATTTTTTTAAGTAAAGCTAAAATGTCTAAATACCTTTTGGGACCGCTCTATATTATATTATATGTACCTGTGTATTATAATTTTTGCATCCATTATTCTAAATTTATAGAATTGTAAACATTTCTTTTTATTATTCCTTTATTCGTTTTAGTTTTCAGGTCTCAACGAGTATCCCATAATACAACCATGTTATATATTCAAGTCCAATGTAATGTGAGGAGTTTAGTATATGCAAGTATGATTTTTGGCAGACTTTCTCCACAGTTATGCTAACATAATATTTGCTGTAAGATTGGTGCTGTATTATGATTGGATCTCTAGGGATTGTATCTTATATTATTAATATCAGACTCTTATTGAGAAAGCCTGTTACAAGTTTTAACTTTCAATTTGGCTTTGGGTTTGTGGTGTACACTTAAAGTTTATCAAGAGTTTGAGACATGCACTTCCTCCTCTATGATTCCATTAGCTATAGGATTTTTCAGTTGTCCCATAATGCGTAGTTTGAGAAAGGACCATTATTCTTCTCATCCATCTTAAGCCATCGCTCTCTCTCTCTCTCTTAAACCTTCTCTTTCACTCTCAAACATACTCACACAGTTTCGATGCATTATATCCACTAAAGCTGTCCATTAGCTACAGGAAGTGTGTCTTGTCTGTTGATTGGCAGCACTAGTCTAACATTACATAAATTATGCAGTTAAAGCTGAAATGGACAAGGTCAGGAGTATCTTGACTTTCAAACATGACTTTTCTGATATTGATTGGTCATTTATTTTCCGTCGCCTTATTCTAAATCTTGTTCTCTTTTACTGTTTCATCTATTATGGATATTTTCCATCTTATTTCCATCCACCATTCCTTGTTGTCTGTTTTTCAGGACATCATTCCATTTGGGAATAACCCGTTGTTCAGGTATGTGTTTGGCTGGATGGTTCCTCCTAAGATCTCCTTGCTGAAGCTCACTCAGGGAGAGACCATCCGCAAACTGTACGAGCAGCACCATGTGGTGCAGGACATGCTGGTCCCCATGAAACACATCAAGACCTCCATCCTACGCTTCCACGAGGACATACATGTGAGACATCCAAACACGCACAAAAATATACATATATTAGGTGAGAATCGATAGCTAATATGTGACCCTGGACCACAAAACCAGTCATAAGGGTCAATTTTTCGAAATTGAGATTTATTCATAATATGAAAGCTGAATTAATAAGCTTTCCATTGATGTATGGTTGTTAGGATAGGACGATATTTGGCCGAGATACAACTATTTGAAAATCTGGAATCTGAGGGTGCAACAAACATCGAAATATTGAGAAATCTCCTTTAAAGCTGTCCAAATGAAGTTCTTAGCAATGCATATTACTAATCAAAAATTAAGTTTTAATATATTTACAGTAGGAAATTTACAAAATATCTTCATGGAACATGATCTTTAATTAATATCCTAATGATTTTTGGCATAAAAGAAAAATCGATCATTTTGACCCATACAATGTTTTTTTGGGTATTGCTAAAAATATACCCCAGCGACTTAAGAGTCAAGACAGGTTTTATGGTCCAGGGTCACATATATAAGAATAAGAATATATGTAATATATAAGAAATTATTCGTTTTATTCAGGATGCGTGATCAAAGGATGCATTAAAGTGATCAAAAGTGACAGCAAACACATTAATAATGTTTCAAAAGGTTTCTATTTTAAATAAATGCTGTTTTTGAACTTTCTATTCATCAAAGAATCCCCTAAAATGTATCATGGTTTCCACAAAAAATATTAAGTAGCACAACTTTTCTCAAGTTTGATAACAATAAGAAATGTTTCTTGAGCAGCAAATCAGCAGAACACTTTAAAAACATACCAGCCCTAAATTTTGAATGCTAGTATATGATAAAAGCTTGGAAGTGATTGGATGTACTACAGTTAGTGCATTGATTTGTTGATGGTTATATGTTTGTTGTAGGTGTATCCTCTGTGGCTTTGTCCCTTCATGCTCCCCAACCAGCCAGGAATGGTGCATCCTAAAGGAGATGAAGATGAACTGTATGTTGATATCGGAGCGTATGGGGAGCCCAAAGTCAAACACTTTGAGGCCAGATCATCCACACGGCAGCTAGAGAATTTTGTCAGAGATGCTCATGGGTCTGTTATCACTTTTCACCTTTCCACTGTTTAGTAGAACCATGTTTATAAAAATTAGGCCAAAGTTCAACAACCAGTTTATAGAATTCAGTAAAATTGTCTGTGGAAAAAGGTCTTTAAAATGTAATTGTTGAAGTAATACTGTATAGTATTGTATAACACAAGTCCTTCCTTCCATTTCTAGATTCCAGATGCTGTATGCTGATGTATACATGGAACGACAGGAATTCTGGGAGATGTTCGATGGCACATTGTATCATAAACTGAGAAAGCAACTCAACTGTGAAGATGCATTTCCTGAAGTCTATGACAAAATCTGCAAGTCCGCAAGACACTGAATCCAACCAAACCTGAAAGGTGTGACCAGTAGAACAGCTGAAAAAACTGTACAACCCTTTTGTTCAAGTAAATTAGCATATTGGGGCAGATGCACTTAAAGGACAAATACTTTTATTTTACGAAGGATCACCAGCTAAATTTTCAACCCCCTTGTCATATGTCTATGTTTAAAGGGGTCATATGATGTTGCTAAAAAGAACATTATTTGGTGTAATGAAATGTGTTTATGCATTATTTTCCACATACTGTACAGTACATTATTGTTTCTCCTCCATGCCCCGCCTTTCTGAAACGCGTCCACTCCAAAGAGAAAGGAAAAATTGAAATCGCATCATATGACCCATTTAAGACAAAAAAGTAAAGGCCCTTATTATTCCTAAGGTTTAACACGTGATTAGATTCATTAAAACAATATATACTGCTTAACAGACAGTTTATGTGCATTCAGATGTGAATAAATATAAACTATAAATGAAACTATTTCAGAATATGTTGACCAATGATCTGTTAAGCATTATATATTAAAAAAAAAGTTTTAATAAAAGAGTTACCAATGATTATTTAAAAAAAATATATATATATTTAAGAAGATATTCTCTATTTTCCTACATTGTGAATGTTGTCTACCTCAACACAAAATGTCTTAATATCTAACACAGTGATTTATTTTGGAGGTGTATACAAAGGGATATTTTATCTACTAAAACCATTAGAGCACTTCTTTATGTAAGCCCGGCACAAATTGTAAATGTATTTAGTATTTGTTTTTGACCCGTAACATACCACTTTTTATTATGAAGTACATATATTTGTTCTAATTATGGATTTACTTTTGTCATTAGTACAGTTATTGTTGATTACATGTAGATTAGGATATTTAAGGTCTATAAACAAAACAATAACAGTATTCATATTTGTGGCCTTCTGAACTTGTTTTTGCCCTTTTATACTGTGTTCACAATATATTTCTGTATTTGTATTTTCAGTGTACTAAAACTATGGATGTCATATAGTTAGCAGTCTCTACATACCCGTTAAAATGAATAATTTAACTCGTCTACAGACTGCTGTGCTGTCAATAACAGTGAATTTGGCTTTGATCATCATACAAATCTTCAATGAATCTCTAATAATGGAGCTTTTGGAGAGTTTTCCTGCTTTTTATGGTGGTGCTTAAAGTGTAATGGTTGGGTTGGAGTGGATTCATGGCTGAGGAACATATGCTATAAAAAATAATCATCCATCTGCTCCATTTGAACATTAACGCCTCCCAGTCTCTCCCTGTAACGTGATGCAGGCACATTATGATAATACCTTGTTCAGCAATCATTTCCATGTCATATTAATTGACATCCTTGCTTCAAGAGAACATTTTTCTCTTTTTGGTTTTCTATTTTTGGCAACCTTATCAATATTCCCTAAAAGTTAACCATACAAATCTTAACTAATATTTATTATCAATCATCAAAATGTACATAAATGATTGAAAAACTCTTAAGGATTTTTTCTTACAGCGCATATATATATATATATATATATATATATATATATATGCTGTAAATTGGGTTAAATAGCTTTTGTGAACATTACTTTAAAGACAATTGAGATTCAATAGACCTCTGGCCATGTCTCCCTCTAGTGACTGAATTATACCTTCATTTATGCCTGTGAAATTGTCCGGTTTCTTCTGCATAAAATCTGGTTATTTTAAAGGAACATGAACCAACTTTAGTTTTCTGATTGAGAAAACAACAACAACAACAAAAGCTATTATATAGATACATAGCATCCCAAAAAGTTATTAAATATTAAATATGTAAATAAATACTGTATTCTATAATATAATACTAATATTCATACTGGTAAAAAATGTATAGCCTGAATGCACTGTAAGTCGCTTTGGATAAAAGCGTCTGCTAAATGCATAAATTATTAAATTATTATTAAATGTGATGCAAATTAAAGGGGTAAAGTCATGTTTGTTGCCCTTCCAGAGGCATTTATTTTATAGAACTATAGCACAAGCAAATGATTTCACAAAAATACATTTGTTACTCTTGGTTACTGTGCTGTAGGTTCCTTGAGTTTGAAGGGCTAGAGATATGTGTTTTGTGCTGAGTGTGTTCAGTTACTGTTGATATCAGGGAAATACTGAGTGTCTGAATGCAGAGATGGTCATTTTCCCTTTGACTTCTGTCTCTTTTCCACCAAAGCTGCCAAAGAATCCCCATAGACAATAGAGAGTTTTGTGTATCACCTAGATAATATATTGTAATAAGCTGTTATATCATTATCCTGCCAAAAACTAAGCTATCATACAAATCTGTGATGTATAGAATTATAATTATAATTATTACTATAGCTAAACTTGTTGGAATTCAGTTATTGCAGCATCTGCATCATGCAAGCTTGGCCTAAGGTATCTTTTCTACACACATTTACAAACCCACTCACAGATGTTTGCATGAAGTTCCTAGTGTTTTTAGTAATCACTGATTTTGTTCTTATTTAGTTGCACATAGTAATTGCTGTAATCTTATGCCCTGAACAATTGTTCATCAAAGCAGTGAGACAACAGTGAAGAAAGCGCCCAAGAGAATAAACCTGTCCTTTGCTTATTCACACTCATTAAATGCAAACCAATGACATGTTGAGCACTAATTAATCCACCAGTTTGAACATGCCATATAAAGCCACAGTGAGAGTGAATGCTGTGTTTATTTACAGTCAGAACAGCTATAATTAAGGACTTTATCAGTTAACTGGTCCTTTGTTGTGGCAAGCAACTGCTAACACATCAAATTTGTAAAAACAATTATGTAAATATTTGTCAAAAAATAATCAAGTGGTTTACTTATTGTACTACTACTACTAATATAATTATTAATGAAATTAATAAAATAATATACTTTGAAAGAAATCCCAAACCTTACGTTGAAAGGTTTATTTAAAAAAATTTTTTTTTTAAAGAAGTGCTTATGAGAATGAGCTTATGCTCATCAAGGCTGCATTTATTTGATCAAATATACAGTAAAAACAGTAATGTTGTTATTACACACACACACAAACTATATTATTATTATGTTACTATCATTAGTAATTATTTAAGTAGTAGTAGTAGTAAACAAGTAAAACACTTGTTGTAAAACACAATATTTTTTTGACAAGTATTTGGGACACAGGTAAAAAGTGTCTTTTTTTCTTGGTAAATTTATGGAATTATATATATATATAATATATATAAGACTTCCGTTCTTCTTCTACTTTATATTATTATCACTGATTTTGTCCATTCACACCCATTAAATACATACATGGAAACGGTCTGTATTTAATGGGTGTGAATAAATATTGGGACAGGTTCGGTTAAGGTATGGGTTAGGGTTAGATCATATGCCTTGTTTTTATAACTAGCTTTATATAAAACAATAAATGTGTTTTGTTCCTTATTTAGACAATTAAACGCTTAAACGTGTATGTGTGTGTGAGTGTGTTTATAAATGTACAAGAGACGTTTTCTTTCATCAATAATTACCGTAATCAAGAAAACCCGTCTACATAAAGCACGCCCATCAGTATACAAAACCACGCCCAACAATAGCGACAACATCCACAAAACACGCCCACAAACCCCCAAACCTGCTTTGATCGCCGAGTACGCATAAACCCCGCCCACCGGTCTGACCCAGTCCGAGAGCTACCGCCGCTGCATACCGGTTCCTCCTTTATCGTACATTTATGGTGTTGCTACTGGCCGTGACGCGCAACCGTCCACCGACGATTTACAGTCACGGGTGATCGTCCGGTAAGTAGATCGACATCATGGTGACAGCATGTAGTAGTAATGATATCCAGCTTTTCATAATCTAGGTGTAGCTTTCACATGACGCAACAGAAGTGACGTGCTACGACTGATTGTCTGTCTTGTACTTTGGTGCCAGTTCAAACAGCAAAGGACTTTCCTCTGTTGGAGAGAGTAGCTGTGCTTAATATTAAACTTTGGAGGTTTGGACACCATGGCTGTGTCTCAACAACTAGTGAGCCGCCTATATAGACAGCATTATTGGCGGCATTATAGGCGCGTGCTTACTTAAAAGGAGCCAAAGATGCAGTATAGGTAGGCAGCCTACTAGGTTTTGAGACAGCCCACATTCTGGACATAGTGAATCAGCCTGTTTTCTCCCTGCACAATCCCTACGTTCCATTCGGAAGAGCTCATCCCTATGCCCTAATCCCTTCAAAGGGTTTACCCTCCAGAGTGAGAGCTTCGAAGGGGTGAAGGGTGTAGGGGATCAAACAACTGTTTCTTGAAGTGCCCTTCCGCGTCATCATCACGTGCACACACGGAGGCGCCGTCATCATTCAAAGAATCTACGCAAAGGATCATGGGGGCCCGAAGTGTCCGTCAGTTGTACCCTTCGAAGTCCTTCATTCCGAGGGGCCCTTTGAAGTGGCCAGTTTTGAGCACTTCGGTTTGGAACGACCCTTCAATATGGCGGCCATGATTGTTTTCACTCCGAAGTGCCCTTTGGAGGGTGATATATCCCGTTTGGAACGCACCGAATACTGCACACGGCTACTGCATTCACGCTTACCATTCTTAAAGCGACAGTTTACCCAAAAATGAACATTTATATATTTACCCCTATGTCTTGTATGACTTTTCTGTGGAACACAAAACATGCTAGTTTAGATTGACAGCCTCCGTCATCTTTCACTTTATAGTGAAACTTTATTCACTTTATATATTTTCTGGCAAGTTAAAGGTTTTACACATTGCATAAATTATAATTAACTTATATGCTCGTATTGAAATATTTAATCCATTTTATTTGGTACCAATGATAAAACTGTGCCTGACGACGAGGCAGACTAAGGAGATTTTGATGTGATGAAGGTGAATTGGTAGTAGTCTTTGAGCTCTTGTGAGCTCTTTTTTTTAATAGTCTGTGTTTATGATTACTACTAGCCTATATAGTGATTTTGTATATATAGTGATGTGTGTAATGTGTAACAGTGACTGTAAAATGTATATTTTAGACATGGAAGCTGCATATTTTTAGTTTTGATGTTTGGGCTAGTTTTGATTGGCCATTGGGCTAGGTTTTTTTTGCTCAGATCTGGCAACCACGACTGCGGTTGTCATTCAGTGACAGAATTTTCTTTTTGGGGGGGTGAACAATACTTTTTTAAAAATTGCTTTTACC